TGCTTTACTTAAATGAACTACATTATGCTTCCAGGGAAAAAAAGGTTACATAATTGCAACAGAAAACATACATTCCAGTGCCATACAGTGCAACCTCTCATACTACGCAACACATCAAAGTAGAAAAATTTGTCTTACAGCAATAAATAATAATTGCAATGTATGTTTTAACCATGGATATTAATGTAACAAAGAGATTTTGAATGCTGGTATTTAGGTATCCACTTTCTATCCGGATTTCTCTGATCTCAATATTGAAATCATTTCCATCTTTAAAAATCATGCCTTACATCCCTAAACAGCTCAGGATATAGGGAATTGGATTTTACAAAACTAGTAACAGCAATGCCAGCCATCCAGTTTACATTTACACAGGCAACCACACTTCTCTATATCCATACAGATTTACCTACCAAGTCATTACCAATACAGTAATGCCTTAGGATAGAGTGCCCTCAGGAGGCCATGATGAAATCTCTTCGTGGGATACAACACTAACTTACTCAGCACATACTAACTTAGCCAACGTACTTCTGTTACCATAAAGTCTGAAAAAGCTGTTCCCCCCAATAGCTCTTCCTTACAGCTGCACTATTAAAAAAACAAAACAAACAAACAAACAGAAAACCAAAACCAAAAACCCCAACCCACTCCTGAACATTTAATGTGTCCTGCTAGAAACTTTTACTGAGGACAATCATACGGAATTACAGATGTTTTGGGTTGGAAGGAATCTTTAAGATCACCTAGTTCCAATCCCCCTGCCATGGGCAGGGACACCTCCCACCAAACCAGGTTGCTCAGAGCCCCATCCAGCCCATCAATTGTGACACATGCCTCAAGGGCAAGAAAAGACTGTTTGTGTTAGACAGTGAGTTCCCTACAACAAATTATAAGTTACAAACATATCTCTTTACAGATAAGCAAAAGTAAGGCTCCAATGACCTACCTAGGAGAAAAGATGAACAAAAGTAGTCCATCATCTTCCCAAACATTGGAAAAATGCAGAGAAGACATACAAAACAATTAACTTTCTAGGTCTATAATGCGCTTCAACTAAATATCAGAACATGCAAATCACACTACCTGTAAGATTTAAACTGAATTGAACACCAAGGCAACAGAACAGGTTTGGTTTCCTAACTTGGCAGTGACAAGGCAGGTCACATAAATTAGTAAATAATGCAAGACACAACCTTCTTTTAGCAAGGATATCCTCTCTGAAGCAGGAACCCATCTGAGTTAAAAACCCAAAGCAACAATTATGGGTGAGTCAGAAAGGGGGTTGCTGTACAACAGGACTGCATGATGAAGTAAATGAGAGCTGCAAAAGTAGCCACCCTCAAAACATGCCTTGATGGTCTCTCTAGAAATTTGTGGAGGGGGTGAAAGGCCACGTAGGGACCAGTGATATGGGATGGCACAGAAGAAAAGGTCTGGAATAAAACATAGTCTGGAAGTTAAAGACCAGAACAGACCAGGACTGCAGCCTTCTTTAAAATGTTCCCAAAGTTAGATGGTAAAGCTTCAATGCATGCCTGAAATAACAGTTGTAGGAAGAGGAGTACAGATTCGTTAGGAACTGCAGAAACATGGAGTAGTGGGAATCTGTAAAATACTTTATTCTTAAATGAAAAAAAAAACAAAAACCAAAAAGTAACCCCAAAAAAACCCAGGAAGGTGCTGTTATTTAATATATTATTGGAGAGTTTTAAGCAATGTAGCAGGTGAAGAAACATCAGATGAATAAGAGCACATTCTCTCCCTTACACTAGGAATGGAATCATCTGTATGCCTAATAAGACAGTCATCTGAAGTTTTCAAAATTCAATTGAGAAATCACTGTCTAGCACAGACTGACTTGAGAACATCCATATGTAAAAAACCCCAAAACACTTATATATAGCTTGGCATAGATTCTAGCAGCACAAGACGTAAAGCCTGAATGTCTAGTTTTAATCAAGGTCATAGCAGGCATACCAGAAATAGGATGGAAGTAAGATAAAAAGGCAAGATATTGATAGAAAATATATAGGAGAGTCAAAAAACTAAATACCAATATATTAACTCACCAAATCAAATATGCATTGAATATCCAGACCTAGTAAGGTAAACTCTGCTGTTAGACAATATTATTACCCACACAATTAAGATGGTGGCAGTACCTATGATGTTTAAGGAATATAAGGCCAGCAATGAAACTGTAATGACATACAGCAGTAATGAGTAGCTTGGATAAATGTCATACTGAAGAGGCTAAGATCAATTTTTTAATATACTCTTTTCCATGCAGCTGATTGGGACCACCCAACTCTGGCTGTGGTCTCCAGGACCATACAAGGCCTGAGTCAAAATGCTATTTTCAAAGATTGGCTTTGTAATGGTCACTTTTATTTCTGCAAGTCTGTTGACTAAGTCATCTGTCATGGAATGTAAAATTTACAGGCAGATCAGAGTGTAGAGGAATAATGTGCAAAAGTGCATTCACACTGACAAGCACCTTAGGAAGAGGAACCATACCTGAATAAGGCAAGCAGATGATCAAAATAAAAAGCAAAGTGCTCAAAAAAGGGAAGGCCACAGAGAAAAAAAAATCCCCAAACTCTGAACAAAATCCTAAATCAGTTTTTGGTACCCTGCAGGAACTTGAGCAGAACTTCTAGGCAACTTGTTGCAACAAGGCAAGCAGTTGAAGATTTTACCGCTCAGAGCAAAACATCAGAAGAGGTTACAGAGGAAAGAGTGACAAACAGGGGAAGCTGGGGGCTATCACTCCCCAGTTCTAATAGAAATCAAGTAACTGCACAGTGAAACTTCTGGGTTAAAACTGCCTCATTAACAAGTGACTGGAAGCTTACAAAAGTGACACCAACCTTTTGGGAGTTTAGTGGGTAGAAGGGCCATCTGCTTTTTAAGAAGAGATTCCAGAGGGATTAGGGAAGTACAGATTAATTACATTTTTCTGTGCATAGCAAACTACCAGAAATCATTCTAAAGCCACAGACAACAGGATCAACATACTGAGGAAAGTCATAGTTGTGTTTGTAAAGGAAAGCCATGTTTGATAAACATTTTAGAGTTTTCCTAAAGACTTAGATGAGCTTATGGAGATCTAATAATACTGCGTGCTTGAAATTCTAAAAGGCATCTGACACATGCCCTTGCCAAAAACTATTAAAGAAGTTGTCATATCACTACATTGTTTACAGATAGAAAAGAAAGGGTATGAATCAGCAGTTGTTCTTTCCTAAGGACACAGACTACCAAAAGAACACCACAAGTACACAGTTGGGGCAGGCAAAGTACAACTTATTCCTAAGGGTTCTGAGACAGCTGTTTCTGAAGCCCACAGTGTATTCCAGTAACACTAAATTACTCAAAGTAACAAAGGGATTAAGGAATTAAAAAACTGCAGAACCATTTCACTGAGGAAATAGGTGTTAAAACCAGCAGACTAGACTCGTAGATATCTGAGAACAATTCATGCTGGGAAAAATACAAAAAATCAGACATATATATATACACACATATGGAAATGAACTCCCGAGTTGTTAATTCAGGATTGAGTTATTGTTCTGAAAACATAGGTGCAAAGGTTAGGAAAAAGCAAAACAATTAGGCATTATTTTTGGAACAAAACATGAAATTTTTTTTAAGAAAAAATCCACAGTGAATACTGTGGGCAGTTCTACCTGTTGCTCCCTCCTTGAGAAACTGAAAAAGTAAAGCAAAGCTCAAAAAAGACAATGTAAGGTACAAAAGAGCTTACCAGCAACAAGCAATTAAAAGAAATATGACTCTTCAGTATGAAATAGAAACAACTGAGGCAGGCAGGATAAGACAGAAGTCCACAAATTCAAAAGCAACATAGAGTGCACAAGAGGGTTGTCACACAGGCTTCATCTATAAAATAGCAAGAACAGGTATGGGCAGCAGCCAAGTCACTGACATATTACTACTTGACTAGTAAAAATGGACCAGCTGTCCTTCCTCACCTTCAGTGTCCTTGGAAAAAATTCTCTGGCCAATTCCTTCTATCAAAGAGAAACCTAATTAGCAATTATATTATTGGGGCAAAGACACATACAACACATAACTGTTCACAGAAAATAACACCACCTCTACAAAGGGATAACAGGAAGGACTCCTGAAAGGGTTACTTTTAGTGATACTATATATTCCAGAGTGAGTACACAACTGTAAGGTAAAACATAAGCAGGTATTCTTTCCAAAAATGCCAAAAAGGCAGTGGCAGGATTAAAAAAAGGTTTATTTCAGATGCAAGGATCACTTTTTAATAAAGGCCCTCTCAGGACCTCTTTATCCTCTCTGTCTCTCCCCCACCTTCCCAAGGCCTCTGTGCATGTCTGTTAGGGCTCTCTTTCTCCTCTCACATATCAGAGAGACAGGCTGAGAACTTCTCTCACTACGAGGGGTGGCAGAGGGAAAAGCATTGAAGCTGCTTTTGAGAGTTACTTTTTAGGCAGAAAGCCTTCTTAAGTGAAAACTGTCTCCTCGTAACAAAATATTCTGGGCAGAAAGGGTATTCCTCACAACAACCAACTGTAAAATTTCCTGAACACACAACCATCCCTTGTGTTATTTCTCAATACATACCTGCAAGAAGCTCGAACATGCACTGTTTTCTGGCACAAAGACAAAATTTCTCAGCTGCACAAATGAAGAAAATCTCCAACTTTAAAGACTCAAAGTTATCATCAGCGAGATCTCTTTTTTCTGTACTTTAGTTTTTGCCAAGAAGGGAAGTAATTTCAAAAGTTGAATCTACATCTGGATCATGATGCAATGAACACTGGAGCTAAGAAGTGAAGGTCCTAAACCACATTCATAGTTTTCTTCAGAGATAATAAAAACATCCATTATCAAAAGTTACTTGATCTCAACAGAAAAGCCCGAGGTCAAACATTTGGTAAGTCTTCAGCAAGACAGGAACACTCAAGATCATTTAAAGTTGAATAATTATTCTGCTTCAGAAGTTGTTTTGAATAAAATAAATGGTGATTTTATTGACTATATATACATATCAAGGAGCATCGACTTAACAGCTGAACTGACTGTTCAAGATACAGAGCAAAGCACTGACTTCATGCTCTGGAAGTGATCGTGTTTCCTAAACACCTACTGAGTCATTGAAAAGTCTTTTATGCAAAAAGGTCTGTGCAGCTCAAACTCAGAATATCATAGGATTAGCAACTCCAATCAACAGTCCTTCAGTGTGTACACACAAGTGCTACTGTATTAAATGAATGCTGTACATACATCCAAGAATGGAACTGAGTAGGTTTCATCTTCACAAAAACACACTGCACATAATTAAATCTCCTAAAGGCAATTCAGGTATGCTGAAGATCTAGAGGCTCCTAGCTTTGTAGTGTTAGCTACAAACAAACAAAGCCTGAAGGAATCCCCTCGCTACTTTGTAGGGACTAACTGATAAGAATGCAAAACTATGCAGTTTGCAATCTTTGCCCTACATGAAAAACTTGATGCAATCATACCTGCCACCCAACAAACATACCTCTGCACTTTATTAACCTTTGTGTAACATGATAATTCCAATAAAAGCTCCACTCTATCCCAAATTAGATAATACGACTTTATAAAAAAAACAGTGTTTTAAAAACATATCAGTATGTTATTAAAGTTATCACCATATCAAAACCAGATCTTTTTAAAATTGTTTCATACACAGACTTCATAATACCAAATGGACTCTTCCAGGTAGCTAAATGTACACGTTGCACTTCTCTGCTGCTGAATTTCTCCTCTGACTAGATAAGACCAAGTCAATTACATACATCAATCTTCAAACGATTTCCAACCCTCTCCCTTTAATTGGTATATATTTATATGTAACCATCATGACATTAAAGTAGGCATTTATTCAAGGTAGTACCTAAGTCATAAGCTGCAAGCCTCCATCTACAACTAGAACACTCCCTGTAACATATGGGGATTCCAGAAGAAAGACAACAGCTTGTGCAACTTCATGAGGCTCTCCAAATCTTCCAAGGAGAATTGCTTTCTTCAACTGATCTTCTTCCAAATGAGCAGTCATCTCTGTGTGAATAAAGCCTAAGAGAGGAGATATTTGAAGAGTTACTTCACCTTTGATTAAATTTATCTAGTATATTTTCCATTGAATCCTACAAAGTGAAATCTATTACCAGGATTCGTCACCAGCTACCATTCTTCAAAGTCTCCAAAAGCAGTCCACACCATTTTATGGCCAAGACCAATTTTTTATCTAATCAATGAAATATCTTCCAGCTTTGGAAGCACTGATGCAATAATCCAAATGCAGAGATCTATAGAAATCCATAAAAAAAAAGGTAACTAAATTTGGGTCCTAAAACCATATTTAGTATCACTTTTCTGAAAGACAAACCACGCTCTTTTCACCAAAATATTCTCCATTAAAACAAGCACGAAATCTCTGGCAAGAAACCCTCTCGGCTTGCAAGTGTTTTCATTATATTTTAGAACTTATGACAGCACTTGCATAATTTCTATCATACCATTCATTTGAAGACTGTTTCTTGACATCTTCGAAGGACATTTTGTTTCAATTTTCTGTTATCTGGGATTCGGTTTTCCCACTGCTGCACAACTCTTCATATAAGCTGCAGCTTCATAAAGAGCTGATCTTACCTGCTTTCTAGCTGCCACCAAGCAGGGAAAGTCTCCCTTTTGCTTTCTACTGCAAAACTTTGCCCCTTATGATGGCTTCAGACCCTTCAATGACCTGCTCAACTCACTGAAGAATTTTTCCTGCCTAGTTCACAATCTGAACTGGTTCATGTAGAAGTCTGAAAAGCATCAGAGGCACCACAAAGTGAGCAGCAATGTACACAGTTATGAGTGGAAGAAGTCAGAAAATACAGAAGGGATTTTTCCTTTAGGGTAGTGGTTTGCTTGAGCTGGATCATCTTAGGAAATCACAGCCTTGTCCTCACAGAACAAACTTCTCAGACTCCCTCCTTTTACTACAGGGAGACAGGGATGCTTTTATGACAGCTTCTCTTGGTCTGTCATGTTTCTCTAATAACAAATAAGCATTCTCTAGCAGGAGACAGAGGCAGCTGTCTGTCTATAATTAGCTCTAATCCTTACATCTGCAAGGACAGCAAGTTTTGAAGGAGGAACAAAGAAAAGACATTTATTATGTAACAACGGAGAGATGAACAGGTAGATTCACTCTTCCAAATTTCTCAGTGTTCCATGAAAAGACTGAAGGTTTTCTAAAAGAATGTATTACACTTCAAACCAAGGAAAAAAAGAAGATATTAAAAACACTTAACTTACAAAATTGAAGAAAATAATAACAATTTGTCTTAAGTTACTTTCAGAGTACCCACAGTCTTGATGAATTGTGGCAGTCAAGAATGTACGAATTTCTCAAAAACTCACCTGGAGCTACAACGTTGACTCGAATTTGCTTTTTTGCTACTTCTTTAGCAAGAGAGCGTGAAAATCCAACTAATCCTGCTTTGGTAGCACTATAAACGCTTTGACCAGAGTTGCCTTTAAGTCCTACAATACTTCCTAAAATAAAAAAACATCAAAGAGAAGCTTAAATGGATAACTTGAAACCTTGTACTAGCTTTACCATTTTAGTTTTAAATTTAGAATGAAAAATGAGATTACAAGAAAAGAAGTCAAATATATATTACTGTATGCACTTTATAGCCTACTGCTGGCATAAGCAAATCCTCAAATTATCTGTGATTTTTGTGCAATTCATATACCCATGTTGACCAAGTGGCACCACGAGAGTAAAATGAAGGGTTTTGTAAAAAATCTATCCTTACACAGATTTAATTCACTGATTAATAAGAAAGAGAAAAGAATGAAGAGAAAAGAAAGAAGAGAAAGAGAAGAGTAAGGGGAAGGTGAGGGAAGAGGGGAGGGGAGGGGAAGGGAGAGGAGGGAGGGGAGAGATAAAGAAAAGAAACTGACTGTATCAATCCTTAGTTAATAACTAGCATCTGGTAGATCTAGATACTGAAAGAAATGATAAAGAACAGGAAAATTCTTTTTTCAACAAAATCTAAACTCTGAGGTGTTTATTACTGAAACAAGTTGGTTTTATATTTAGAGGTTGCTGATACTTCACAAAAGAATGAGTTTTCATAAAGAAATGCTAAATATAGAATGTCTAAATACAAAGAAAATGAAAATAAGTCAATTGTAATAAGTAATGTAACATGTTACACCTGCTAAATCTTTCCAGAAGACTACTAAAAAGAATTCCATTGGCTTACACAAACAACTTACCTATATTGACAATAGCACCTCCCTGTTGTTGAATCATGACTTTTACAGCAGCTTTGCACGTCAACATTGTTCCCAAAAGGTTAGTGTGAATCTGGGCTATCATATCTTCAGTCTTGGTTCTCAGTAACAAACCATCCCTGACAAACAAACCCAAAAGAACTCACTGAACAACCCCATTGGTCACGTTTACTCATATTAAAACTTGACTAGTGAATAGAATGTTAATGGGGCTGTATGTGGTTCTCTACATTCTAGCATTCAAAATGAAGACACTGCAAGCACAACACATCTCAAGAAAAAAATTTAGCCACGTTTCTGGCAACAAGGCCTCTTTTGCAGCGTGGTATCAAACATTGTTCTGGAGCATTTTGGGGGAAGTGGAAGAAAGAAGAGGGGGAAGTCAAACTCAGAATGCAGAAACTACAGTGAAAGCTGTGTCATGTCCCAACTCAGAAGATTCTGTGATTCTGTGATCTGTTAGCATTTTACTGCATCAAGAACAAAATACTGCTGAGCACTTAATATTATTCTCAGATGTACTCCTTAACAACACTCTTACTGAATGCAAGGGCCCACAGCACCTTACAGTGAGATGCCTTCATCTAGAATTACATATAATCTCATAATGAATAACTAACCTGTTGATCCCAGCTGCATTAACCAAGTAGTTAATAGGACCTAAATTCCTCTGCATCTCCTCAAAAGTCTTTTGGACTTCTTGTTCACTGGATACATCACAGCTAAGTGCCAGATGTCCTGCTGTATTGAAAATAAAGGCAAACTATAATAACAGTAAAAGCTGGTATATCATTCATAAACTTTCTTCAGAATTTATCAACTCAATTTCAAAACAGATGTTGAACTAGTTAAAATTTAAGGAACCCATTTAATCTCCAGAGAATTAAATAAAGACAATTTTCAAGTATTGTATTGATTAGTTATGTGACAATTCCTTGGTTTATATTTTTTGTCTTTTAAAATCACAAGTTCGGCATGAGCAGACACATCTCAGTTCTGGCTTGTTCAGGAACCAAGATGACTCAATTCATACTACCTCTCTGTTGTGGCCCCAAACAATTCCTTTCATCTTAAAATTTGTATCTTGTGGACAGAATAGGTAACATACTTACTTTCTCAACAAATATTGTAAAAACAAAATTGTACCGACATAGCATTTCTTTTAAACTTCTCAGCCTTTATTTTAATTTTTGTCTGGTTAAACAATGAGGTTTCTTTATCGACATACTACTTTCATGAGTTACCTAAGCACGGGACAGTGAAGAGATAACTGCAAGCAGCATACATACCACCAAGATCATGTGCAGTAGTTTGGGCTACTTCCAGATTTCTAGCAATGATCGCCAGGCGACAGCCCTTCTGTGCCAGGAGTTCTGCAACAGCTTTGCCTATTCCTCGGGATCCTCCAAAAATGGCACAAACCTTGCCCATCTTCAAAAATAATTCACAAATTGCAAATAAACCATGAACTTCATGTCCAATATGGCAAGAGAATATCCACTGTTCTTGTCAACATCACAGCCTTTACCAGTTTGTAGCATTTTGTAACAGTAGGTTATAGAATTAGTGATTTGTTATTCTTTATTCACCAAAAAATAAACATTTGAACTAAATTAGGCACCACTTCTAAAAATGACAGTTAATTCTTAATGATTTCTGAACTAGTAAAAAAGTTATGCATGTAATCTAGCATTCCAATACTAGAGTTATGATAACTTCTATTCAACTGGTGAAATATGTGATTTATGTATCTAAAGATGATAAAGTATTGTTTGTCTGCTTATTTGAAGCTGATGTACTAGTTGTAATTATATTGTTCTTGTAATCGCTATTTTTGTGCTAAAGTCATTTAGCCTCACGGTCTCACTCCATCCAAAGTACCTGTGTTGGACAGCGCCAGTGCAAACATTACTGAGCACGATTCGAAACCATTGTATTTACACTGATTTAATACTGGCATACTACATAACACTATATTTTACCAATATCCTTGGGGTTTTTTTTTCTGCTTTTGAAAGGAAAAAAAGGTTTTAAAATGTGAAGTGATTCTGAAGTAGAAAGCTTTGACATTTAAGAAAGAGTATAAGAAGAAACTTCTTCTGTAGAATTATCTTTTATTCTGCAAGCTCTAGAAACGAATCAGCTGTTTTGGGATTTCCTAAGGAGCCAGAGGCAAAATCCAAGTAATGAATCTTTTTTTCCATACATTTGAATAAATCCTTTTTGAACCCAATTATACTTTGTCTCCATAACATCCTGAGGCAATGAGTTTCATTATTTGTGGGAAAGTACTTCCTTTTGTTCTTAATTTGCTTTCTGATTAGATAATACTATACACTTCTCCTCATATCTTCCCTTTACTGTTTCACCCTCCACCTGTATCCTCCTTCAGGTCTGTTCGGTTTCTCTTAAACATATGGAAGCCATTTGGTAGCTTACTAAAGACTATTCAAGCTCTTAGACCTTGGTTTACTGAGGTCTATTGAACTCTTTTGGATGTGTGATAATCAGAACAGCACACAGTACTAAGCACACAAGGCTACCATCGACTCAGACAATGGCATGATGATTTTGGTCTTCTGTGACAGCACCTGAAAGAGCAGATGGTCCGTTCTTTTCAAAGGACGCACAGGCACAAAGTATGCACAAGTGCGTGAAACCAACCCATGTGCCTCCTTTCAGTGGCAAGTTGAAATCAGCTACATGGAGCAGGAAGAGGCTTAAATACTTGCATCTCAGGTAGTGGCCCTTTTGACAGAACACGTACAAAACGGTGCCCTCCATGAAGACAATTCCTTCCTGACAAAAATGGGCACCACTGCCTTGCGAGAATAACTATTGTTTTGGGCAGTCTTCATTAGGTAGCTACACAGCAAGACATGAATCAAGAGGTCTTACACCTAGTAACCCCAGTAACTACAGCTCTCACTCTCTTAGCAGACTAAGGGCACAACCAACCACCCCATATTCTGCTGACAGATTTTTCTGGTTAGAAACAAAGTCTCCGTCTGCCTTTTCCAGCATGACTGATCTCTTCTTTTACAGAATTACCGGAATGATTCTTGGAAGTTCTTGCCCACTTGTTGCAGCAACATTGTGCTAGGATTTCCTTCTTTACATTTTGTTCTTACTCGTACTGAACATATCTACTCTCCTATTTTTATTTGAAATGTGGAATGATACGGATGAGGAGAGATCTAAGGAAGTCATCCCATGAAACTCCTCCACCTCTAAGTGTTATAAGTGAATCATCTTACACTGTTTATAAATGCTTTCAGACCTACATGTATTCTGAACATGCTTAGCTATGCAGGACCCAAAAGATCTGCCTGTGGGAAGAGAATTTTTAAAAAATGTATCGTTCTACCCTTCTCGGCCTCTTTGAGAACTGAAAAGTTGTTACTGCTTCTGTCAACAATTCTACTGTTCTCAGAACAGGGAAAGCACCTTGTGCATTAGCAGGCATTCACATGGGGGGCATAGGGCCTACCTCCAACCCACTAATGTACAACTTGTGTTTTAGCACACTAAAGCCATACGGTTTCCTTGCAGTTGTGACTTGGGAAAAAAAAGCTGCTGCGGGAGTAATTACCCACTGTTCCCCGGACAGGTAACAGAAGGGAAAACCAGGTATCTCTGGAGCAACAGGCACACACAGGCGCCTGCATCGCCTTTGCCCTCTACGGCCCTGCCCTTCTTTCACAACCAACTCTTTATCGCGTGACCCCAGAGATCCAATGGCGCCACCGCCCCACGGCGCACGGCTGCAAAGCCCACGGGAGGCACCTTTAAAAGAGAGCGAGTGGGGTTCCCGCAGAAAGCCCAGCCCAGCCCAGCCCAGCTCCGCGCTCGCCCTGGCGTCGCCCTCCCTCTCTTCCTCCCTCCTTCCCTCCCTCCCTGCCGGCGGTGCGTTCGAGCTCGGCTCCTGCTCCCGGCCCGGCCGTCGGGCTGCAGGTGGAGCCCGCGGCGCGGGCAGCGGGAAGCGGCGCTGGGATCGCGCGGGGGCGGTCGGGACGCGCGGCGGCGGTGCCACGGTGGCAGCGCGGCCGCTCCGTGTCGCCCGCCCCGAGCGGCCACAGGAGAGGGACGGGAGCGTGTTCCGTGTGTGCTTCAGTTACCTCCCGGCTGCTGGGCAGCTGGTGGCTCGCTTCTCTTAGGGAGGGTCCTTTCCTCTCCGAGGAGGCCGGTCCAGCTCCGAGCCGAGCGCAGGCGTCACGGGATAGCGGCCTGACGTCACCCACAGCTGACTTTGGCCGCCGCCGCAGGTCCCGGCGGGAGCAAAGGCCTGGGCTGAGGGGGCCGGGGCAGTGCCCTCGGGAGCGCCGCAGCTGCCCCGGCTCTGCGGCGGCAGGGACACCCGCCCCGGCAGGGACACCCGCCCCGGCAGGGACA